ATGTGCAGAGGAGGGATAGTGGTTATATTGGTAGAAGGATGTTGGAGATGGAGCTGCCAGGCAAGAGGTCAAGAGGAAGGCCAAAGAGGAGATATATGGATGTGCTAAAAGAGGACATGAAGTTAATTGGGGTGAGAGTAGAGGATGCTGAGGATAGAGTTAGGTGGAAACAGATGATTTTCTGTGGCGACCCCTAATGGGAACAGCCGAAAGAAGAAGAAGAAGAAGACCATATTACCATAATAGTAGTAACACAGTGCTGTATGTGATATAATCCAACGTAATGTAGCCTTAGAAAAATATTAAATACAAGGTTATTCAAAAAGAATGAACCAATTTCATGAAATGATTACATGAAATCGGTTCGCAACCAAAATAACCTTGGAAATCAACTGAACTTGGATTTCTAGATCGAAGACGTTTCACCTCTCATCCAAGAGGCTTCATCAGTTCTGACTGACTGGTGTAGAGTCGGAGATATTTATCCCCCTCGGTGTGGTTTCAGTCCTTAGAAGGCCAACACTGTCCATTAACGACTGAGTCGTTACAGCCCAGTATCAGTGAGGGTCGTTACCTGTCTTTGGATCCTCCCCTGTCAACCGACGCCTATTGTCCTGGTGGGCATGTTTGGGCAGAGATCTCAAAACCGGGTTGTAGATGGAAGACAAGTTGTGTCTTAGTCCACCACCCCTATTTAGTGAGGGGTGTTCTATTTTTACGAAAATAGCTTCCTTAACACCTCTGAGAAGAGGATCCAAAGACAGGTAACGACCCTCACTGATACTGGGCTGTAACGACTCAGTCGTTAATGGACAGTGTTGGCCTTCTAAGGACTGAAACCACACCGAGGGGGATAAATATCTCCGACTCTACACCAGTCAGTCAGAACTGATGAAGCCTCTTGGATGAGAGGTGAAACGTCTTCGATCTAGAAATCCAAGTCCAGTTGATTTCCAAGGTTATTTTGGTTGCGGTTTACTATAACCTGGATGATGGGAATCTGCACAGATATGAAATCGGTTCATTCTTTTTGAATAACCCTGTATGTTACTATTTATACTAATGTTCACAACAACAGCAATAATCAAACACCTGTCTCTTGTTACAGTTGAGGAAATGTGTAAAACCTCCTGGAGGGAAGTGCAGATGTTTTATCGGATTTGGGCATCTTGACAAATGTCGTGTTGCTGGTGTTTGCTGCCACAGTGTTACCATGCTGTCACCAGTGGATGGCGCCACAGTAGGGGCCTTTTGACTGGATTTAAACCCACCTTATCTTTTTGATTTAAAGCCTGAGCCCATAGTATGACTGTCTAAGTGAGTCTGTATGCAGTTGGGAGTTTCCCAGTCCTCCCTGCTCACCCCAGTTTACTGTATATGACTAACACTGATACCCCATGGGTAATGTCCTGAAACCTGTGGCAACCTGTACACAAGGAAACAGGAACTGAAACAAAAAATAAAAAAGGCTTTGTAATTAAAATAGTTTTTATTTTATTTACTTAGAGCTAAACAGAAAAAGGAGCCACATACGATAAAAATCCTTTTGGATGAAGAGCAAATGACAATAAATCCACACGGTTCAGCTTCTGTTGCTTTTACTGTCAAAAACCATTTTAATGTCACCACCAACAATAACGATATTTTAGCACAAACTTTTTATTTCACTTCTCTCTAACCAGTGTTTATGTGTAAAACTGACCCCGTTATACTTAATGTACTGTACACACTCTTGTCACATGTGTGTGTTAAAATGTGTATCTTGAGTTGACCACAGTGGAACTTTACTTCTCCCAGCTCGGGCTCCCCCTCCTCTGGCTCACTGTCCCTGGATCAGTGTGGGCGCCTGACACTCAGCAGCAGGGAGGACCTGGAATCCAAACAGGGCTCCTGTCCTCATGCCGTCTCGCTCCTGGAGGACAAAAAGCAGCGCTACGTCTCTGCCTCAGCAAATCAGAACAGATTCCTAAATTCTTGGCTCCACCTTCTTGTCAGTGGACAGCAGGGATTGGCTGAGGAGCACAGAGGGCGAAGTCTAACCAGCTGCGATGCCCCTCACCAACCAGGTAGAACAGGATCATATTAATGGTATATCTACAGTAGACCTGCATTTTCCCAAACCCCCGAATTCTGATTCATGAGGTCACTGGGCTGCACATTATTTCTAATACAAGGGGAGAAAAGACGTATAGCGGGGCAAATAAGTATTTGATACACTGCTGATTTTTCAAGTTTTCCCACATATAAAGAATGACAGGTCTATAATTTTCATTGTAGGTACACCTCAACTGTGAGAGACAGAATCTACAAAAAAATTCCAGAAAATCACATTGTTACATTTTTAAATAATTTATTTCCATTTTGTTGCATGAAATAAGTATTTGATACAATAGAAAAATAGAACTTAATATTTGGTACCAAAACCTTTGTTTACAATTACAGAGGTCA